TTAATTTTCATAACTATATTTATATAATTGAGCAACTCACTCTTAACTACTTCTATTATATGTACCTATAAGTTAAGTTAGACTCATTTGTTAACGGCCTAGGAAATTGATTCACTCCTCATTCTCTTGCATAAATAAAGCTAGCTATGGGCCGGAGCTGCAACACGTTCTTTAAAACCTAGTAGCTTTTGTCTAAATTATTTATTTGTTTTAAAGAATGCATCGAATAGTACTATTAATTAATTTGATAGTAGCTTAATTTACTATCAATAACTTAATTAATTACTTATGAGGTAATGTTCCTTTCAGACCGGTGGGCCCAACTACAATGTGCCCTTAGGAAGAAAAGACGGACGGACCTTTGCAACAGAACAAGCAACCTTAGACAACCTTGTTGCACCATTTGCCAACACTACAGTCGTCCTCAGTCGCCTTGCAACCAAGGGTTTAGACGCCACCGACGCCGTCGCTCTATCCGGGGCCCACACCATCGGAATCAGCCACTGCACTTCCTTCACCGACCGTCTCTTCCCTAACCAAGACCCAACCATGGACCAAACATTCGCTAACAACCTTAAAACCAGTTGTCCAACCGCGAACTCCAACAACACTGTCGACATGGATATCCGAACTCCTAATTTATTTGATAACAAATACTATGTTGATCTCATGAATAGGCAAGGGCTTTTCACTTCTGATCAAGATTTGTTCACTGATACAAGGACTAGGGGAATTGTCGAGAGCTTTGCTAAGAACCAGTCACTGTTTTTTGACAAGTTTGTGATTGGTATGATCAAAATGGGACAAATGAACGTGTTGACCGGTGGAAATGGTGAAATTAGGACCAAGTGTGATAGGAGGAACAAGAATAAGAAGTTTGACATTGCTACTGTTGTTGAAGAGTTGGAGGAAACCTTCTCTGCTTTTTAGTCTTTTGTTTTTGTTTCAAAAAAGCTTTTTATTGCTTTATTTGTAATAATGAGTGTCTTAGCTAGCGTAAATTCATAATAATAACCTTTTATTTTGTGATGTAATGTAAGGGCATGTGTTTGTGAGCTCCTTTATTTTATTTTATTTCCTTTTTAAAAAGTTTGCATTGCTAGCTCCATGGCTGGGAATCTAGTTCTGGTGATGATGACGATGGTATTAATTAATTTTCAAATTGCAGCTTTTCCAGCTGAGACTATTGGATTGATTTTTCGGAAAACTAATTTAAAGTTGTACAGTCAAATTACTCTATAACAGCCTCGTTTATTCGTTATAGCGAGCATATATTATAAAATAACATAAAAATTCGTTCCAGAAAAAACTTGGTTTTTATAGTGAAGTATTGTATATAAGGATGTTGTTATAGAGAGATTTGACTGTAATAGGAAACCTAAATTACTTAGGATTTGATATTTGTTAGTTTATTTAATTCATATCTAAATATGATTTGTAGTCAAGAATTAATATAGTATTAAGTTTTCCTATTTTTAGTTAAATAGTTTTCAACTATTATAAATTGAGGTATATGTAGCTTATTTTATGTGTGGAAGAAGTGTGAAGAGAAGTGAGAACTGTAGGCTTCCAGATAAATATAATAAAGTATTTTTCATTAATTTATTATCCATTTATTTCAGCCAATGATGAAGGATTTTAAGATAAACCATTGTATTTTATCAAATACAAGATATATAATACAAACCTATATTGACATATATATATATATATATATATATAT